AGGCAGTGGACTCCCACAGGAACTCTGGAAAAGAGGGTTTTATGAATTAATATGCTCAGTTCTGACCCAGAGTGAGGCAAGCTGTCCTGCAAAAGCTTATTAGCTTTTCATTCTGATTAAAGGAAAAAATTATTCAAAGTTATATTCACCATGCTTATTCTGTATTTGTTATATTATAAATTTAATAGTCTCTTGTGAACTTGTAGGGATAGAATCACAATACTAATTCCCTGGGAAATTATGTTATAGCATCCAAGCAACTACTAATCAATTAATTCAACGAAGATTTACTGTGCAGCTTCTGCATGCCAGCCATTAGCGTGGAGCTAGATGGGGAAGGGCAGGCAAGGGCTGAAGGCCTGAGTTTATGTTCTGTGGCTGAGGAGAGCAGTAAGTGAGTAAACAGGAGAGGTCACAATTTAGAATAAGAAGAGATGCTTTGCTGAACATAAATGATAGGCAGAGGATGTGGATAGCCAGGGGATGATAGAAACGTGAAAGATGACAAAACTCGTCAAAGACTTGAAAGGAAACTCTTGGTTAAATAAAGAACCAGATAATGCAATGTTCACAATCACCTTTGCCTAGAAATAAATTTTCAGGATGTTTTGGAAGCTCCGTTGCCCGGCACAAAGCACTACTTTGATCTAATCAATACTGGAGAGGCTGGGGGGGCACGGGGGCGGTGCCCAGGATGGAAGCTGGGGTCCGAGTGTTCCCAGGAAGCCACTGGGAGGATGTGAAGCTGGGTTTGTTCCCAGCCCACCTGGCCTCGCTGGTTTGTCTCCAGGTGCCTGTACCAGGGAGTGCTCTGCAGCGAGTGTGGGTGGTAAGACTGGGGGAGGCCCCATCCCCTGTTGAAGGGACAAGCCCAGCCTGCAGGCCACTGAGCCACAGCCACGCGTGGGTACCTGCACCCCGTCACCACACTCCCTCTGTGGGTCCACCCAGCATCTGCTCTGGAGCCGTCACGTCACAGGGCCACCCTCCCTCCCCGTGTGATGCTAGCTTTGAGTGAGGATTGCAAGGAGCCCTCTTCACAATTCTGTGACTGGTGAACAAGCTGAAGTCAGCCTTTTCCATAACAAAAGAGAAAACATGGGCATCAGGTGGCTGAGGCCAGTTATTAGCTGAACATACAAATTGACATGATTTTCAAAGCAAATGCATCTGTCTTTTCTAATATTTTCTCTGTGTTTTAGAGGTGTGACTGGCGTGTTTACATGGTGTGTGGCGATGAATGCTTTCCCTGACAGTACAGGAGAGGGCTGCTTCTCATTCCCACTGAACTAGAACCTGGCGCTGTAAAGGCAGTGAGCCGAGGGCGCACACAGCCTTAGACTCCAGCCCAGGCTTCGTCCTTTCCTCCCTTGAAACTGTGACTGGGATCCCAAAGCCTCAGTGAGTCCTGTGGTACAATGAGGATACCATTTTCCAGTCAGAGTGGTCGAGAGGGCAAAATGAAATACGGAATCTGAACTGCTTCGTGTAGAAGCGGGAGACGCTCCATGTCCATCCTTCATCTTTGCCAGGCTTGCGGCTCTCCACTGTGGCACGCCAGATGGCCAGATGCTCTAGACACCTGCTCTACCCCTTCCCTTTCTACATCCTCACAGCTGTTCCCTGTTTGTGTTCGGAGGCCACAAGAGGTTCTGTGCTTGCTCTAAGCCTTCAGCCATTCTGATGACTTCATGAAGAAGAGACAGGAATGGCCACAGCTGTGTTAGGGACCCGGAAGCCATATGCCCAACCCAACCACACACGCTGTATGACTGACACAGGCACCTCCCATGTGAAGATTTTAGCGGGAAACGTGCCGTGATTACTTCACTTGGAATATTGAGCATGGCATTGAAGACTACGTGCAGAGATGTGACAATAAGGAATACATACATTAAACTAATGTATCTGCAGCCATTAGTCGTCATCAGACTATTGTGGAGAGGACGCATTTCTAAGGTACAGGTTGCCATGAGTCTCTGAGACCGTGAGACTGGCCTGTGCAGGCTCAGCAGAGGGATGACCGTCCCTCCCTACTCGGCTGGTGGTGCCTGTGGACTTGCTTCCATGGCCTCTGTCATAGTCTACATAGTTCAGGGCAAGGAGCCAGGGAAGGCCTCCGTGGGCCTGTGACAGTTTTACAGCTCCCCTTCCCCCACTGAGGGCCAAACAGCAGCCGCAAAGAGCCTCTGACTCCTCCGTCTCAAGGTCTGCTTTCTGCAAAGGAGAGTTTCTAACAGGAGTCTTCAAAAGCCACTGGAGTTTTGCTTTTTGTAATGACAGTCACATTCAAAGGATGATTCCACACTAAGAAGCGAGGTGCCTGGAGGCAGCCGTTTCAAAGAGTTGGGAATTAATGAGGTGTTCAGTGAAGGAGGCAGCTATGAATGAGGGAAAGGCAGGAACTCTGACAGCAACGGGGTCAAGAAGCTCCTGCTCCGGGCCCCCAGCCGGATGCAACTTCCCCTCTGCAAGCCTCATCTCCTCAAGCACAGAACCCAACATCAGAGCATGGCGCACGGAGCATCTCCATGGCTCTTGGATAAGCTCCTCCATGATGCATAAGACACCCCAGCAGGGCCTGGAATGAGCCTTAGAACGGCCTGTTCTGTCGTTCCCATATCTGAAGGCTCACTGTGCACCACGTGCTTATTCATTTGGCATTAATTGTGCACCTACTGTATGTCCAGTACTCTTCTGAGTGCAGGGCCTGCAGCAGTGAGAACCCCGGCTGTGTCCCTCATCTCAGGGACTTCCATGTAGATGAAGGGGACACCTGGTGAGGACAAGGCCACTGACAACAGAAACATAAGGACCCGGCGGGCTGAGGCAGACATTATGGCACAGAAGCATGGGGGTGATTGGCAGTCACTGCAGGTTCAGGCGTGGGGCTCGTCTGAGCCATCGGGTGGACAGGGACAGACAGCTGGCACCACAGGAGCGGCCTCTCAGGACTGCCTGTGAGTGCTCCGGTGGATGGAGTGGTCGATTCAGGATCCCGGGCAGAGTGTGTCTTCTCGTAGGGGCCTCAGCTGGCTTTGGTATCAGCATAATTCTGGCCTCATAAGATGAGTTAGGAAGTATCCTCTCTCCTTCAGTTTTGTGAAAGCATTTGAGGAGATGGATGTCACTTATTTAAACGTCTGTGGGATTTATCACTAAAGCCATTAGGCCCTTCCCTGGCTTTTCTTTGATGGAAAGTTTTTTTTTGTTTTTTTTTTTTAAATTACGAATCCAATCTTTGGACTATTTTGTTCTCTTCGTATTTTCTGTTCCTCATAATTCTGTCTTGCCAGGTCGTGTGTGTCGAGGGATCCATCCATTTCTTTGGGGCTGTCCAGGTTGCTGTCATTGTCATTGTTCACACTGCTCGTGTGACCCTTCCTACTTCTGTGATGTTGGCTGTGAGGTCACCTCCTTCATTTCCCATTTTATTTGTTTGAGTCTTTTCTTAGTTAGTTCAGGTAAATTTTGTTGACTGTTTATCTTCTCAGAAAGCATTCTTCATGTAGGTGGAGTATTTGTTTTTGTTTTAGTACCAAAAAAACGACAAGGAAGAGGATCATGATATGAAACCAGGGAGGCAGAGCTGGGGGAGGCTGGGATGCAGACGGGGCCAGATCTTGGGGCTTTATAACTGGGGAGAGGGATCCTAAGTCCAGTGGGAAGCCATTAAATGTTTTAATTAAGACATGGTGTCTGATTTAGGTCTTGAAGAAAGAGTGTCTGGCTGCTCTGTGGAGACGGGACCATAAGGGGTGATGCCCAAGAGGAATGGCTGCCACCCAGGTGGATGTGGCCTGGGTGGGGTGAGAGGTGCAGATGGAGAGAGATCACACTTGTGGGAGGAGGTGAGGATGGAGAGAGATCACACATGTGGGGGGAGGTGAGGATGGAGAGAGATCACGCATGGTCGGGAGGTGAGGATGGAGAGAGATCACGCATGGTGGGGAGGTGAGGATGGAGAGAGATCACACATGTGGGGGGAGGTGAGGGTGGAGAGAGATCACGCATGGTGGGGAGGTGAGGATGGAGAGAGATCACACATGTGGGGAGAGGTGAGGATGGAGAGAGATCATTCGTTGGCCTTTTAGCATCCTCTGAGCACACATCCTCTTGGTCCCCTGGCCCACTCTGGAATCTCAGGGCTCATGTGGCAGGAGAGAGGCATCCAGGTCTCTGCTCTCCAGAATCCCTAGGGCCTCTGGACCTGGGTCATCAGACGTCTTCCACTGACAGCCCTTTGAATGGATTTAAAATCAGTTAAAACATGATGGGGTTATTTTTAATGGTGAGAAATCAAAGGGGATTGTACAGCTATACACATGTGTGTCCGTGCATGCGTTAGTGTGTGTCCATGCATGGATCACATCTTATGTGTATGTGTGTGCATGTGTGTTTCATCTGTATGTATGGATGTGCATCACGTGCGCATGTGTGTCATGCATGGTATGCATGTGTGTCCTGTCTATGCATGAATGTGCATCGTGTGTGTCATTTATGTGTGACGTGTGTGTGTCTTGGTGTCTTGCACTTGTGTGTATGCATGAATGTGCATCGTGAGTGCATGTGTCATGAAAGTATGCATGTGTGTCTTTCATGTGTGTATGCATGAATGTGCATGTTGTGTGTCATTTATGTGTGTGCTGTGTGTGTCTTGCATGTGTGTGTATGCATGAATGTGCATGTTGTGTGTCATTTATGTGTGTGCCGTGTGCATGTTTGTGTCTTTCATGTGTGTATGCATGAATGTGCATGTTGTGTGTCATTTATGTGTGTGCTGTGTGTCTTGCATGTGTATGCATGAATGTGCATGTTGTGTGTGTCATTTACGTGTGTGCTGTGTGCATGTTTGTGTCTTTCATGTGTGTATGCATGAATGTGCATCTTATGTGTGTCATTTATGTCTGTGCTGTGTGTCTTTCATGCGTGTATGCATGAATGCATGTTGTGTGTCATTTATGTGTGTGCCTGTGTGTCTTGTGTGTGTGCATGCATGAATGCATCACGTGTGCATGTGTGCATCATGTAGGTGTGTGCACATGTGTACATTTGTGTGTTTTCTGCTTATGTGTGTGCATGGATGTGCATCGTGTGTATGTGTGTGTGTGTTTATGAAAAATGAGGTTTTCGTCCCCACAAAACTGTGTCATCCCTCTTAAGTCTGCAGCACACCCAGCAGATATTTCCCCTGTGGCAGAGGGTGTGTGGTGCACAGGTCCTTCCCTGGGTTCTTTCCACGGTAGGGCTTCGTCCTTGGGCTAATATTACAATAACAAGAAAAGCCACATTTCAGTTTGGACAACAATGCTCCAAGGTGGAGCAGTGCACAGTCTGACTACTTACAGGTGTGGCAATGTCTGGGAGGAGTTCTGGCTGCGTTTGTGTATGGGACAGGAGCACAGACACAAGGTCGAATGCCATGTATCTGCCTCTGTGAACGTCCTCGTCTGCACCAACAGTCTGTCAAATAATCCTCCTGCCTTGCCCAATATCCCTTCCTTATGCAGGGAAGGTCAACCTCGAGTGGAGAATCCCCAGGGCCCCGGCATCTCTGCCCTTTGATATGGAGCTAAGGGAACTCTGTAGGAGGCGGCAGTTTGGACCCAGCTGCTGCACAGGGTCCAGCCAACCAGACCAGACCGGAGGTCTCACACCACTGAGGAGGAGCCAGGATCTTTATGTGACTGCCAGAGACATCAGGAGAAAGCCCACAGAAGCCGAATCTCCAAACAGGCTGGTCCTAGCTGGCATGGTAAGGAGGTTGCTCTGCTTCAACCTTTACGGGAAAAGTGACCAGACCCACCGGGGTCTTTCACTGGAGACGGTCGTCTGCTCTACTGCTTGTCTCTTTTACCCCCTATGTTGTGTTTCCCGCCTCCTCTTCTGTCTATGAAATCACAGCCTCCTTCACTTGGCTCAGTGGAATGTGCATTCTCAATACTAATCAAGATCTTTGATCTGAACTTGTTGTAATTTTGTCTTTTGGCAATGGCAACGGGAGGCTCCATGTCCTGGCCTCATGGCCTTGTCCTTCTCTTCTTTGCTTTCCACTCTCCTAACTGTACCTCAAGGGAGCTCTTAATTATGTGTGTGGATATCCGAGTCCAGTTCTCCAATCCAGCCACCCTGGAGCAGCTGTCTGGCTGGCCCAGCTTTCTGTAAGCCCTAGGCTGGGCACGCATCTCCTGTGCTTGGTGCCTGCCCGCTTGACAGCAAACCGAGAATGACATGGACAGGCAGGCGGGGTGCAGCCCACACACCTGGGCCAAGTCTGCAGCTGACTGCACCCTCTTCCTTGCCATGTGTATCCCAGAGGCCAGGTTTCTGCTCTGTCTTGGCCACGAGAAGGTCACACACTTCTCTAAAGTTCAGTTTTTCCGCCTGAAAAGGAGGCAGTCAATCATTCCTAAGTTTCCTCTAGGCTCTTGCAATCTATGACATCCACTAATTCTAGGACAGATCCCAGTAATTGACTTCAACCAAAGAATTAAAACAATAGACAAAAATGAGACCTTGACTCATATAATTAAAGGTTATGTTTAATTAGAACAGGAAAATTAACGCATGCATCAAGGTTTGAGGTCCAAATTTTGGGCCATATTGCCATAGGAAAATTGAGAGCAGGCTGTTAAAGACAGTCCCAGCTTTGGGCATGAAGAATCCCTTTTGTTCAAGATCTAAACACCACCTGCCTGAGCTGAATCAGTGATTTAGCCTTGAAGTCAATACTTGAAATAGAAAATTGGTATTTCTTCTCTCCTCCAGCCAACTCTTTGACAGAGACATTACTGAGCCATGACATGCTTCAAAGAGGGTTGAAATGAATGATGGGATACTTCCAGTTATAATAATTTAATCCTAATAACATGATAAACAAAAGTTTGGAAATCCACGTTAGAAATGAACATTCTTTAAACATAAAAAGCCAAATGTGTACATTATTTATTTCAAGAAACCATATGTATAAATGTTTAATTTTTAATCTCATTGCATTTGGTGTTTGAGAATTTACTCATCAATATAGTTCACATAATAGGTTAAAATATTCTTTTAATTAGAAATGACGATGGGAGCCTATAAAATGGTCACACACTTTGAACAAAAATCTAGAATATTTTACATAATAAAGATAATAAAATAATTCAAATTACAAGAGAAAAAAACACCTCAGATTATTACAGTAAAGACGGTGTCTGGGTTCCACGTGTGACTCTCTGAATGTTATATTCACTGGGATGCCACCGAGATGTGTTAAAGCTGAACTCATCATCACCTCCTGCCTCTGGGCTTAGATTCCCCTTGTCAAGTCCTCCTTTCTCCACACGAACCCAGGAAATTCCCATCCCACTGACTGTGGAATGTCTGCAGGAACACCAGACTTTGCCAAGACAACTAAAACATTTAGATGAAATCGGGGAGAAAAGCCGTGCATTTGCAAGGAAGGCAGGTCTCATGCTTTAAGATCTTGAGACAATACAACTCAGAAAAGTGATGGTCTTATCAGTGTTGTCTTTCTACTGAGGCATTTAAAAAATGTGTAAGCTCTGTGAGTCAAGAAGCTAAGAAACCAAAGAGAACAGAGCTGTAAATCAGGCTGGCTTCTGGGCAGTGCTGGAGGTAGAATTGAGACCAGGATTTCTGAAGAGTGAGGAGCCCCAGGGATCCCCTAAGCTCCTTCAGGAGACCCTGGAAGCCTTGTGCCTGGCGGGAGGAGCAGGATAGTCAGAGCTTCCTACAAGTCACACGCCAGCCTCCAGGTAACTGAAATCTCCACTTTGGCTGTAACATATGGCCCAGTTATTGGCATTAACATTGGTCATTTAAATGCAGCTTTATACGTACACGAAATAGGATAACACCATGGATAATTTTACCACAATGATGGAATCCATATAAAAGAAGCAAATAGAAATTCTAGAATTGAGGAGACAATCGCTGTGATGAAGAGCTCACAGGATGTAAACACCGGAGTGAGCAGAGTAAAGGAGAATCAGTGCACTAAAACTTATGTCATTAGAAAATATTTAAGCTGAAGAACAGAGAGCCAAAAAATGCAACCCCGATATGAAAGGGATACTGGACCTAATAAAATGTCTAACATGCATGCAGTTGGATTGATTAAAAACCAAAGGATGTCAGTAAACATTCTAATTCAAGCATAGCACAGAGGAAAACATGAAAAAAAGATAAAGAGCAACGCCATGTCAGCTGTGCAAGGAGCAGAATCGAAAGCTGGAACACACGGGCAGCGTGAGCCCCAGAGGAAAGGATAAAAATCAAAAGGGCTGAAATAGATGTAGAAAATACCTAATTTGATCAGAAACAGTGAATCTCAGCCCCTGGAAGCACAGCACGCCCTCAGAGCCAGAGGCTGAAACTCAGGAGCAGCCTGATAAGAAGGCGATTTGTTACCCACTGGGCAACAATGATACAACAGACTAATGATGCTTTGCCACAGAAGTAATGCAATCCAGAAGAAAATGTCACCAAAAACAAAAAGATTTTCAACTGACAAACTTAAAAAAATTATCTTTCAAAGATGAAGGGCAAATAAAAACATTTTAAGCTGAATTAAAGCTGGATGAGTTTGTTTGCCAGCAGATCCATACTTCAAAAAATGCTGAAGATTCTTCAGGCTGAAGAGAAATTACACCAGGTGAAAAACAGTGTCATAAGATAATGAAGAATACTAGAGATAGTATATATGAAAATAAATAAAAACAATTATTTTCCTTCTTTGGTTAAATTCGTCAAAATTAATTGGTTATTTCAAACAAAAGTAGAAAAGATAATGTGTTTTATAACAATTTAAATATGAGGCAACACTTGCAGATAGCAGGGAAGACAAGTAGATTTACAGTAACATGAGGTAATTTTACTGTAGATGAAGTCATACAATATTATATCAGAGTAGACCATAAAAATAAAAATGGCAAGAGGAAACACTGAAAAAAATGCAGTCAGAAAGTCAATAAAAGGACAAAATGCATGATAAAAATTCACTAATTTATGCTGAAATAAAACAAAAATAAAAAGGACAAGAAAAGAGGACAAATAAAAGGGTATGTCACAGTGGAGCCCTTGATTCACAGGCATAGCGTTGGGGACGTGAGGCTGCAGGTGACTCGGGCACAGCATTGGTGAGGCTGCAGGTAACTCACGGGTATAGCGTTGGTGAGGCTGCAGGTGACTCGGGTACAGCGTTGGTGAGGCTGCAGGTGATCCTTAGGGCTCATGATGTTCTTCAAAATGAGATTTATGCAGTAGACAGATCAGACCCTGGTCACATTTTCATGACTGTATAATCCCTTCCTTTGAGTGTGGTTGGGACCAATAACTTGTTTCTAACCAAAATAAAATGGCAGCAGTGATGGGAGTGGCTCTCATCATTACATTATTCATTATAGTTCTGTCTTGCTCGCATTAACCAGAAAGACTCTTTCAATTGCTGCCTTGAAGAAGCGAGTTGCCTCATCATGAGAGGCCTCTGGAGGGGCCAGTGGCAAGGACCTGCAGGGGACCTGTATTTGCCAGCTGAGAGGAGTCCTCAGCTGACATCCACAGCAGAGCAGACCCTCAGTCCTCCAACTACAAGGATATGAATTCAGCCAACAACAGGAAGGAGCTTGGAAGCAGACCTTTCCCTTCCCCGGTTCAGCATCTGATGAGCCCACAGCCTTGGCCAACCCTGAGCACAGGACACAGCTAAGATGAACTCGACTTTTGACCTACAGAAATTGAAATAATAGAAGTGTTATGTTGAGCTTCAAAGTTTTTGGTAATGTGTTATGCAGCAATAAAAATCTAGTATGTCCGCCAAAAAAAAAAAAAAAAAAAAACAACCACTTGGCTGGGTGTGGTGGCTCATGCCTGTAATCCCAGCACTTTGGGATGCTGAGGCAGATGGATTGCCTGATGTCAGGAGTTTGAGACCATCCTGGCTAACATGGTGAAAACAAGTCTCTACTGTTACAAAAAAATTAGCCAGGCATAGTGGCATATACCTGTAGTCTCACCTACTTGGGAGACAGAGGCAGGAAAATAGCCTGAGCCCAGGAGGCAGTGGTTGCAGCAAGCTGAGATTGTGCCACTGCACTCCAGCCTTGGTGACAGAGCAAGACTCTGTCTCAAAAAAAAAAAAAAAAAAAATGCTGATCTGACCACATGTGAAACATATGCAGGAAGAGCACCGTAAGTTGCTATGGCAGTGCCAGGGAGTGGGTTCCCCTTAAATGTTCTTTCTCTTACCTTTCCAGTCATAAACTATACACTGTTCTGTAAACATCTCAGCACAGGATTTGCAGAGTTTTACTGACTGTCAGATATCTTCCCACATGTCCTGTCACCCTGAGCTTGTGTTGAACAAGATCCATGCTGCACAGGGCCACAGGTCCTCATCATGTGAGTTTATCACGAGGCGCAGGTGCGCTCCACAGTGGTGTTGATCCCTGTCCTCAGATAGACAACCTGCAACAGGCATTTCCAGCTCTTCTTACTGAAGGGCTCTAGAAATCAGAACTCACAGCCATCTGGATGGAGTTTGCTTTGTAGGAAGGTTTTAATTAACAAATTCAAATTTCAGGCTATACTTATATTTTTTGTCCATCACCTTCGTAAATTATATTTTTAATGACTGATGATTTCATCTAGTGCTGTTTATCACACTCCTTATGATTTTAATGTTTCTAGGATCTCTAGTGGTGTCTCCTTTTACATAATGACATTTGGAAATTTGGGTTTCTTAACTGATTTGCCTAAGGGCTTATCAATTTTCTAATCATTTCAAAGCACAAATATTTGTGCATAATGGTCAGATCTGCCCCGATGGCTTATCATGCTTCTCAGAAAACAGCTTGTCCATTTCTTACTATTTGGATATGCGGATTTTTTTTCTAGTTTTCCACCTTAACAAGTAATGCTGTAGTGAACATTCTGAATGTATTTCCTTATGTAAATATATCGGCGTTACTCTAAGATATCTTCTTAAAGCTGGAATTGCTATGTTAGAGCAGATGCACACTGAAATTTTAATCGACACTGTAAATTGGTTCTTCAGCCTGGTTGTATAAATGTCCATGCCAACACCTTGTTTATAAAGGCTCCTTTTCTCTACATCCATGATAACTTACTTGTTCATATCTGTCACTTTTTGTAAAGCGAGTAACTATGAAATTCCATCTTTGATGTCTGTTTTCTTAGTTAACAGGAGTGCTGATTGTTTTCACATTCATTGTCTTGTTGGTGATTTTCTCCTGGGTGATTATCCGCTCTTACTGTTTCCTTTTATTTTCTCATTGTTTTATTTGGGCTTTATGTAATCCTGATACTACTGCTGTACTACACATTGCAAATAACTTCCCAAACTAAAATTTAGCTAGATATGCAATTTCTACAGTGTATTTTTAACTTGTTTTTTTCTATTTAGAGACCACTGTGTTCACAATGCGCATTTCCCATATTCTCATTGACTTGCGGCACTTCGCTTGCTAATACTTCCAGTAAAATGGTGAAATTCATGAAAATACTTACATTTTTAGTGTTGCCTTAAGTGGAAATGCAGCCAATTTCTTACTATTAAAGGACGGATATAGGCTTGTGGTAGATACTTTTTAAAAAAAATCAAATTTGAGAAGTCTCTTCTATTATTAGTTTATAAATATTCATATTATAATTGATTGGCTGAATGGTATCAATTTTTTTCTTCTGTTGAAATGGCTTTTATTTTTTACCCTTTCAGTTTGTTAAGGTAATGAAGAAGGTAAATGATAGGTTGTTTAGCTCTTGAATAAACTTTGTATTCCTGAGATAAGCATTAATTAAAGATGGATTTATGTTTCTTTGTACATAGCTACGTATGACTTATTTTATTTAAGCTTTTTGTATCTATGTTCATAAATAAAGTTGAGCTATGATTACTGTTTTGTTTTGTCTTTTAAAAACAAAATTTTTATATATTTTTACCAAAAAAAGCCCTTCAATTTAGCAGCATCTTGTTTTGTTGCTGACTTGTGTCCTCACATTGCTTGTAGACACTGACCCTTTTCCTGGGGGTCAGATTCACTTCGGGTTGAAATGGTCGTTTTGATTTTTTTCAATTGTTTCACATGACAGATTGGAGCTTGTAATCTTTCTTTGAAAAAAATTATTCTTACACTTTTATATAACTCTTTATTATGGAAAATTTCAAATATATACCCAGGGGAGCTTATGGCATAATGAACTCTAATTTATCTCTGATCTGTCTTGAGCACTGAGCAGCTCAGAGCCCATCTGATTTCCTCTGCTTCTCGCCCTCTCGCCTTCCCCAAGATGAACACATCCAATGCCTTGGCCTAGGTCTGTTCCTCTTTCTATCACTGTTCAAATTCTTTCCTCCATTTTGTACTATCTGGATACTTATATTTTTCCACATTTTCATCTGATCAGATTATGTGCCAGTGAATATCCTTGTGTGTTTCCTCAATGCCATTGTGCTAGTAATTCCATGGTATATTTCTCCACATATTTCTACATGTATCTTTAAAGGACATTTCAACACCTTTAAAAATACTGACAATTTATTATCAAACTTGAAATTAATCCACAGTAATTGCTTAATATCATCAAATATTCGGCCACTCCTCACACATTTCTATAATCATTCTAATGAATTTAAAATACATGTTAAGGCCGGGTGCGGTGGCTCATGCCTGTAATCCCAGCACTTTGGGAGGCTGAGGCAGGTGGATCATGGGGTCAGGAGACAGTTTTTATACAAAAGGCAGGATCAGTGCTCTTTTCTTTCCATTTTCAGAATTACTTGTTTCTCTGGTATCTCCCAGAAGTGATCACAGATTCCTTTGATTTTAGGTGTTGTTGAGAATTTTTAATAATTCATGGGATTTTATACCGTAGATGTGTTTAGAGTCCCTCAAGGTTATTATCATTCTTGATGTTGGAACATTCCCATTCTTTTCCAGGGGAAGCTGTTCATGTTGTATCCTGAGTGTTTTTCGAGAAAGCTTTGATGAAAGAAAAAAGTCACACAGAAAGGTGCCCGCATCACAAGTTTCCAGCTCCATGGGTTTTTGCAAACTGAGCACACTCGTGGGCCAGGAGCGGGCCCCCAGCGAGGACACCCTTCCTGCTGCTCCTGCCGCCCGCCCGTGGCACGGCAGGGGTTAGTTCTGCCTGTTTGGTTGACACAAATGGGGCCGCACAGTGTTCAGCCTCGAGTCTGGCGTCCCTGCTCAGTATCACCTGTGTGAGATCAAACTGCACCGATGTGTGTCGCAGCTCGTTCCTGCTCTTCTCCATTATCCGTTGTGAGAATGGAAAGCACCGTTTGTGTTACCCCTCGTGGGACTTGCTAGTTTCCTTCTGCTGCTTTGACTATTCTCAGACATATCCTGTGGCTTTGAAGCAAGAGTTGACCTTGAGGGTTTTTCGTTTTGTTTTGCTTTTTCCTGGTCTAACAAGATGTTATGCCCACTTTGTGCCTGTCTTCACCAGAAATAGAACCAGCCATTTTTTCAAGGAGCAGTGATCCTTTCCATGGAAAATGAGGGTTAGGGAGAACAACATTTTAATTTAATTACTTTTCAAAATTTTTACGTAAAACTTAGAAACAATCCTACCTAACTAAATCATCTATAAAAATGTGTAAATAGCAAAATAAATGGCTCCAGCTTTCAAAAGGTTTCTGTTTAATTCTCAGTGCTTCTTGCAGTTGAGTAACACAAATGTTAGCACTGGGCGGGGATGAGGAAAATAGTACTTCAGAGCTGGAATTCCTAAGTAAAGGAGAAGCATGGTATTAAGAAGACCTGTAATCTGCAGCAAAGAATATGGTTGTGGGTTTAACAAAATATTACTTAAATCCTTTTCTCACAGTTTATGCCATAATAAACTTTTTAAATCAAAGATTTAAATGTAAAAACTAAAACTATATAAGCACCAAAAAAATTTGAAGACATTTTCTTGTGGTTTCAGGATGAGGAATGCATCCAAATATTAATAAGTAGAAAAATTAGAATTTATAATTTGATTAATATATTTAAAGTGGCATGGTTACAGGGAAATAGACAAACCATAAAACTTATTGCTACCATAAAGCACATTTTTAAATGTTTAAATGGATTCTAAAATTCAGTAATAAAATACCAATAATCCAACTGAAAAAAATGGCTGAAAGATAAGACAATAAAGAGAGTACAAATGCGCTAAGGGATGCTAAATTTAATTAAAAGTAAGAAAAAGATTGAAATCGTGATTTATGATTTTTGATTTCTGCATCTTAGACTAGGAATAGTTGGATTATTAAGAGTGTGGAAAGATATATGCTGTCTTCCACACTGCCAGTAGAACTGCAAACCAGCTTAGCATTTGTGAAAAGCAATTGAAAATGAGACACCAAAGATAAAATGCTCACTCTTTTGACCTGATAATTCAATATCTTAAACTTTATTAGATATATGTAATCACATATGTATAGAGTATATACATTGATCTATTAAAAAACAATGAAATGCCTTATGAGTAATTCAATAAGGCATTGCTTAAATACACAATGCTGTATCCACTCAATGGAAAATCACATTTCTTTTCAAAAGAACGATAAAGTCTATACTAGTAAGGCATAATCTTCAAGATAATGGTTAAGTGATAAACTTGATTTTGGATTATGTGCATCATAGGTTTGTGTGTAAGAATTAAAGTTGGGAAACATAAGCAGAATATGAATAATATAAGCAACATATAATAAGGGAACAGTGCACCACGTAGGTCACAGTGACAGGGAGAAGCAGGAAAGGGCTGGATGGAGACGGGTAAAGTCCTGTGAGGGCTCCAGCCTCGGGCCTGTGCCCTCGGACCTAAGTGAGAGCAGGTGCTCCTGTTTGCCCACTGCGATGTTGCATTTCCAAGACCCCTGTGGCCCACCATCCTCCCCATCCTGTGTCCATATAAACCCGAGATCTTAGCCGGGAACACAAACTGCTGGATGTCGAGAGTGTGGCGGAAAGTAGTGGAGAGCGGTGGAGAGCGGCTGACAGCAACACTGTGGCCCGCAGGGAAGGAGGGAAGAGACACCTGAACAGCAAGAGGAGTTCCCTGACAACAGCCAAACTCCAGGGGAAGCTTATCTCCCCACCGTTCCACCTTCCAGCACCCCCCCCACCCCATCTGCTGAGAGCCGCCTTCAATACTCAATCAAACCTTGCACTCATCCTTCGAGCCCTCTTGTGGTTTGATTCTTCCAGGACACTGGACAAGAGCTTGGGATATAGAAGGCTGTAACATTGGCCCTCTGCCCTTGTGATACGGCAGAAGGTCCCTTGAGCTGGTTCACACTCATGCAGTCTGCAGGCAGCCAAGCTGAGAAAGCTCTGTGACACGGGAGTTGCAGGCACTCACCTCTAGAGGCTGTCACAGGGCCAAGAGCCCAAAGCCCCAGCCCTGGCCTCTGCACTTGCCCCCTACCTGTTCCCGCCCACTTCGTGCTCCTGCCCTCTGCCTACTCCTGACGCTCTGCATGCTCCTGCTAGGGTTGTGAGCTGCAGGGTGGCCCAGCACGTGAGCCACACTCCTGTTGTTCATCCTGTGCGCGGAAAACGGAATTATCCAGTTTCAAAAATATCCTGTATCACATAGTGTGTAGCATAAAGTATGTAACATACAACAGGTGTAACAGAACATGTGGCATGCACTGTGCACTGTGTGTGTGGGGGGGCAAGGCATTTCCCTGTCTGTAACAGGGTGTGACATGCGCTGTGCACTGTGTGTGTGTGGGGGGGACATTTTCCTGTCTGTAACAC